CATTATCAGAGGGTGCAAGAAAAAAAAAAAAAAAAAAAAAAAAAAAAAAAAAAAAAAAAAAAAGACAATGTGCGGTGCTGTCCAAAGTCTGTTCTTTCAAAAAACTACCACGTTCAGGGAAGCTGGACCCGGGGTTTCCAGCAGGTGGTGGTCCCCACCAACAGACGGAGCCTCCCCGGAAGTGCTAGTACTGTCTGCTCTTACCAGCACACCTAGCACCCGCCCGGGTTGTTCATTAAAAAAAAAAAAGAAGCAGAAGAAGAAGAAGAAGAAGAAGAAGAAGCACTAAAAACTTAAGCATGCCCTCTGGAAAAGGGAAGCAGACTTCTGCCCACCCTGGAGGCTTTAGGAGGGGGGGGGGGGTGTTCCCACTACCAAAGAGGATTGGATATTAAGCACCTGAATCTGGATGGGATTTGAGCAGAGATATGCAGAAAAGCAGCATATCCAGCTTCGGTGAACTCTCTGCACAGCCGGAGTGCTTTCCAGCAGGTGCTGGTCCCCACCTATAGATGCAGCCTCCCCGACAGTGCTAGCAGCGCCTGTTCTTATCAGCGCCCCTAGCATTGCCTGGGATTTTTCTGATTAAAAAAAAAAAGAAAAAAAAAAGAAGGCAATGTGGTGCTGATTCACAGCTGCATCTGAATTGCAGTTAACGTTGGCAGACTACCATCTTCCCGCCAACATGACATGGCCTAACCGTTCCAGCTGGTCATAAAATTTACCCCAAATACAGCCTTTTTTTTTTTTTTTTTTTTTTTTTAACYCCCCCCCMCCAGTGTTAGTGGTGCTGATAAGAGCAGACACCACTAGCACCGGGGGAGAGGCTCCATCTATTGGTGGGGAGCTTCACCAAATACAGCTTTATTCACCCTGTGTTATTTCTGCCGGAAGAGGCTCCCTTCCGTGAGATGCAGCAGCCACCTCTGGTCAGTTGCGAGTCTGTGCCCTCTGCACTGCCTTTTTTTGGAAATCGGACACGAAGGCGGTGGACTTCACGAGCGAGCTGCAAACCTTGCTCCACGACGCCGACATAAGTGTTAAGACAAGACGTGCCTTTTTTTGCGTGCGCATAGCACTCCAATCTTCTCACCCTATCTATCCATCTATGTCGCTTCAGCGAGGTAAGAGTTGACATCACGTGCTGAGCTGCAACCCTTGCACCACGTCAATGCAGGTGTAAGAGGTTGTATCCAGGGTAACGATCTAAGGGGGGGAGAGAGAGAGAGAGAGAGAGAGAGAGAGAGAGAGAGAGAGAGAGAGAGAGAGAGAAGGGGGAAGCCATAGCCGCTACTTAGTTGAGACTCGTTGTGTGTGTGTGTGTGTGTGTGTGTGTGTGTGTGTGTGTGTGTGTGTGTGTGTGTGTGTGTGGCAGAGCCGCTGCTGACAAACATTCTTGTATATTTGTAAGAATATAGGTGACCACATCTTCGAGTGTGGATTGTATCTCGGTTTGGCTTCTCATGCGGTGGACTCTCATGTGGATGTTCGTTGGTGTATGCAAGATGAGCTTGACGAGTACTCGGTTCATTTCAGTTTTAAGGTCTGCCGGCGTTTACCCGTAGCAGTACACGCATGGCTCTACAATCTTCTCACCCTATGTACCTCTACAGTCTGTACTGCCATTGTTGCTTTTTTTAATTTCTTTTTAAACATTGTTGCATTTGTAGAGGCCATCAAAGGGAAGAACAATTGACTTCCCTATTTTATTCAAAACATTAGCGCCGAATTTAGCGGCACAGGACATCCGACAAGCCCTGGGCTGTCGTGGTTTCATTTCCAGATCTTTTGAGTGAGCGGACAGACACATACAACATGTCCGTCAGGGTGCGCCAAATTATTGAAATTAACAATTTTCAACGTTTTCAGAGGAAATCTCTGGGGAAAAAAAAGTATATTATTTGGTCGCGGTATATTATTTGGTCGCGGTACTTCGTACCCCTTCAGAGACCCATCTAATCCCACACATCCGTTTTTGATAAGCTGGACTTGAGATCCACATTTGACATGCACAAAATTACTCTACTGTCCCTCGATGGAAAGCCGTCTCCCTGTGGCTTCTGGCTTTTCTACATTTCTTCACATTCGTGGGCGTTGCTCATTGTCGGAACAACAAAACCGTTTCCCTGTGGCTTCTGGCTTGTTCATTGTCTGCATTTCTTTAATTACCCCCTGGGCCCAGGGGGTAAGGGGATAATTAACACTCTGAGCCAGAAACCCCTTGGCTAGGGGTGTGGACCAGATAGCCAGGGAACATAGCTTCGAGGCCCGCCTTGCGACAGAGTTCATCCAGGGCTTGCTTTGGTCCTTCTCCACCAGCTGCTGGCAGCTGGAAACCTCACTGCCTTGGCACCACTTTACTCGATGTTTGCTAATCCTTTGGCTGAATGTTGAGGAGCTTCCCCCACATCATATTGATTTGCCTACTGCATGGGGATGATCCAAAAAAAAGACAGGCTTTTTTGGGTGTTTTATATACGGCTCACATACAACGACGTTGCATTATATTGTTTGGATCAACTTGCGTCGGAACAACAAAACTGTTTTGGATATATCCAGTTTGTTTGCAGTTCTAATGCATTACGCTGGGACCAGTCGTCTTCTTCTTCTTCTTCTTCATCTTCTTCTTCGTCTTCTTCTTCTTCTTCTTCTTCTCCGTCGTCCTCCTCGTCGTCCTCGTGTCCTCCTCCTCCTCCTCCTCCTCCTCCTGCTTCTTCTTCTTCTTTTTCTTCTTCGTCTTCTCCTCCTCCTCCTTCCTCCTCCTCCTCCTGCTTCTTGTTTTTTTTTTTTTTTTTTTTTTTTTTTTGATAAAACTC